GCCTTGGTGGGCAAGAGGGGAGGAGAAGAGGGTTTGGGCACATCTTTGTCCGAAGCATCAGTATCAGTCTCTGTGGAAGTGTTGTCCTCTTGCTGTAACCTAAGTAAAAACATTTTTTTTTTTCATACGTCTTTATAGACTAAAGATACTATGAAAGAAAAAATACTATCATGATTGCTACTATGTAGGCCTACTCTTGAGAACTAATTTCACAATATACCAATACAATTAATATTCTAGTTTCAGGACAAAAGTAAACCAAACAGCTAGAAATCATTTGTTCTAGATTCTATAAACATTGGAGTTCAATAAGTCCAAACAATACATTAGTTTGAGTGAGCAATATAAATGTTTTCATTCATATTAGAAACAATGGCTAGTGCTTTCACTATATTTATAGATTAATTAGTGCTAAAGTTAAAACTTAAATCTATGCAGAAGAAATTGTTTCTCACCTGACTATTTTCTTGGATTTCTTTTTAGGTGTGCTAGTATTGCTGACAGGTGGAGTTGGGTGGGGACTTTCACCTGGGGAGCCGCTAGGAGGTTTCTAATCAAAGACAAAGAACAAGGTTTTAGTTTTCAAACTTTTAAGCCTGTATAAAAATGATAATGTTTTGGCATCACGGATAATTTTATAGTGTGGTGTGCCTGTTGTAAATGACAAAACCTAGTTATCCGAACCTAAGAATCCTTATGGTATCAAAAATGTTTCATTACAGCAATAATCCAACTTACTAGATTTATCACGTCTGTTGATTTGGTTGCAGGGGACTGAGTGTCCCCCAACACAGCTGGGGCAGCCCCAGTGACAGCAGTTTTAGTTGGGGCTGACAGGACCTCGGAGGCGGTGGTGGAAGTGGTTGCACTGCTAGTGGCAGTCACGTCTGTCGCTCCGGCACCAAGCTCATTTTCTGCCTCAGCTGACCTGCCCCAAGAGAACCAACCTTTTTTTTTCTTCTTTTTGGGCATGTGTTCCTTCTCCAAGTCTTTCACTGCAGGCTAGAAAATAAAAACAAAATGCAATATGAACAACTAAGATCAATGAATAATTAAATCAATGTCAGTGAGTCAAGAACTTGTATACCCCTACACTTTATTCTTTGAAGTCTTACAGATTTTCAGTCTGATATGTGTCCCAATAACAGTAAATTTCAGTCCAACACCAAGAGTCCCAATGACAGTAAGTTTCAGTCCAACACCAAGTGTCCCAATAACAGTAAGTTTCAGTCCAACACCAAGTGTCCCAATAACAGTAAGTTTCAGTCCAACACCAAGTGTCCCAATAACAGTAAGTTTCAGTCCAACACCAAGTGTCCCAATAACAGTAAGTTTCAGTCCAACATCATGTGTCCCAATGACAGTAAGTTTCAGTCCAACACCAAGTGTCCCAATAACAGTAAGTTTCAGTCCAACATCATGTGTCCCAATGACAGTAGTGTTGTTGTTTTTTTTATTTGTAAAATATTTAAATATAGTTGACTTCTTTGAAAAATGGATTCTTGATGCCATTCAACAAAATTTTGATTTTGATTATAACTAGGAATTATCAATGTAATTCAAGCTGTATTGTTCTAGGTAATAACTATAAAAATAAATCATAAGGTAAAAAAGCAATGAAGGTATTCTTTCAAAGCCTCATTTTGTTTGTACAACTACTCTAACTACTAAGATGAGGAATGTTTCACTGCTTGGATCCTAGAAGAAAACAAAAGCATAAAGAAGCAAGGACAAAAGGAAGATGAAGCCATCTTGAGTGCCTGGAATGCTAGGGGGGGAAATAGACTTTTGAAATCTCAATGATTGAAAATTGTTTCCCTTAAAAGTATAAAATCCTGTACATAGGAACATAAATCATCATAAATATGAATTTTCAATTTTGAATTTGGTGCATTATTTTTTTTTGTCTGATGGAACAAAGAAATGATTACATCCAGAGTCCACTTCTAGTCAAAGAAATACAAAGCAAGGAAGTCAAGTGTTACAGAACAGAATGCATTGAGGTGGGTCTAAGTGGCCAAGCAACACCAGAGAAAAATTCAGAAAGTGAACAATCAAAACAGAAGCAACATTTAAGGAGGTCTTTTTTTTTTTTTTCCTTCCATTTTAATTAGAAAATAACTTTACTAGGGCTGCTGTGGACACTAACAAGAAAGATGAAGAAGATTTTATTCTTTAAAAAAAAAACAACTAAATGTCGGAAAAACAAAATAAAATGTTCAATAAAAACATGAAGAGCAAAGCCAAATTTCAGGAGAGATTCGCTTGTGAATTATTTTTGCTTAGACAATTACTGTGGAAAGACAGGAGGCGCATAAGAGTTATAAACAACATCTACAACAATCAAACGGTGGAATCTACGATGAAATGGTAGACCTGAAATAGGGTTAATCTTACCTCGGTGGGCTGCATAAAATAAAAAGACAACAAATGGAACTCAATTATGTAATGGAAGGTGCTAGGTAATAATTTTGTTTTCTAAACTATTTAAATACAAAACTTTCAAAATTAAAATTCTAGTGTGAAACTGCTAAATATACAAATTATTCATAATGGGGTTATTACATTTTTGAAAAGTTTGTGAACACAACATTTAGAAATAATTCAGAGATTTATAAACAAACATGTATATTCACTGATGTATAATCTGTGTGCTGAAACTTTGATCTTGACAAAAAGGACTGAACTTTGATTTGCATTTATAAAACATGTTAACCAACCTCAGGGAGCTGCTTGTGGAATACTATCTGGGAAAGCACCATTGGACCAGCAGTTGCCCAGTTGTAAAACCTGAGGAAGCAGAACATTGAAGACAATAGTATATTCACTTTTAATATAAGAAGGTATAAGAGAATAATTTTTTGTTTGTTTTAATAACATTAATATACTAGAAAAAACACTTAAACCAAATTCCAGTTTCAATCTTGATCATTTGTAAAAAAAATTATACTATATTACTATATTATTAACTCCTATCCTAACTGACGATACCAGCGTTGATTCCACCAGAATGTGGTAAATAATTACGGAGAGAAAGAGTTAACACCATTAGGAGCAGCAAGTATAAACAAATTTAAAGCTCACTTGTCATGTATTTTAACGACCAGATCTGGATTGAGGGTGATGTTGGGGTTTTCTGCTAAATCTTCGAATGTCACAACTTTTTGCATGAACTTGTCCAGGCTTATCGGCTCAGCTTCATTTAGGCCACCGCACAGAGAGAGTGCCACAGGGCCCAAGTGGCGCACTTCAGACATAGTAAAGCTCACTGGACCACCAATGGCTCCCTCTACAGAGTTTGGAGATTGAGGCAGAGATTGACCCCTTCCAGATTCTGTATCCTCTTCATTCTCTCTGTTAAAACAAAAAAACTAACAAATCAACACATGCACTTTTTCAAAAATATTTATAGATTTATAAAAACCGATTTCTTTTAATGCACCCATCAAAGTAATTCTTTGCCTTATTCTGACCTGGTCTTTCCTAGGTAAATTTTGGCCATCTCAGGGTCATCCATGTTAGCTAGGTCATCTAGGTAGATTCCTTCCTCTTTCTTACCAGATGAAGGCTTGCTGCTCCACATGGACATGAACCCACCACTGGACTTCACTGTGTAAGCAAACAATTATGCATGGTGAGAAATAATTAACATCGTTGGAAGCTGCATTTATTAAATGCTTCAAACTACAAACACAATTCCTTTTCCTTGGCTGTAACATTTCTAATTTAAAGAGATTTCCTTAAAACTAAAATTTTACATTAGAATGATATTCCATTTGGATACTTAGCTTTTTCTCAGAATATTTTTTTAAAAACATTTCATTAGGAAATATGGGTGAAGTATTTAGTAAATTACCCAAATTTAAAATAAAATCTGTATTTTCTACATTGCAATACTACACATCTACTGATGTGAGATTATAATGATGGAACCCTATGGCAAATGGACAGAAAAGTGTATTGAGGATTAACTCTTTGGCTCCGCAACAAGGCACAGGACGTTGATTTTAAAAAAGGGGGGAAAAGTCTGACCAACGTTAGGGGCATCGGCTATTTCAAATTTATTTTTTTTTTGTTTCTATTTCTCCAATTCTTGTTTTTTATAGCTTAATTTTTTATCTAGAATAGTTTCCCTTTGCTAAACATCCGGAATTTCCTTCTTTTAACGTTTTTTTATTTTGTACGAAGTCTGTAAAGAGATTACATTTATTTTTTCTGTGTGCGTGTTTTTTTAACATGGAGCTTCAACCAAGGCCATATAAACTTTGTAGATCTAAATATTTCTTTGATAAAGAAGTATAATAATTCAGATGACAGTGATTTTGTTTCATCTGATGGTGATATTGATAAATCTAATTATATAGATCTACTTAGATTGCTAGATCTAGTAAATTAATTTATAGATGAATGTTGTTTTTTTTATTGACAATCACATTGTTGATAATCTTGGCAGCAAAATAAATAGCTATGCTGACCATAGGATTAAACTGAACACCCCTGATAGAATAAGATCCATTTTCAGAGAATGGAGACCTATAACTATAAAGAAAGACAGAGTATGTAAACACTGTAGGTCAGAGAGAACGGTTTATGTTTGCGCTGGATGGGAGTCATTCATATTGACTGCTTCCATGAATATCACAACTAGAAGGAATATTTATATACTAAGTACATGAAGAACTTTAGAAGAAAGTACTATAAATATATATATATGCTGTACAGTTGGACTAGTTTTAGGGTAAAAGTTTTTTGTTCCAAGAGTGTTGCTTTTTTTATGGTTTTTTTTGTTAAAGTGGTGACATTGGATTATCAGTTCCAGTTTATTATTTTTTGCATCTATTGCTGTTTCTTCTATGGTGTTCTGTAAACAAATGGATACAAATGAGAAAAAAAGCTATTTGGATTCAATTTGAACAATAAATTTCTTTAAACATGCACTTGGATGGATATTTTCAATGTCAGTTGGTGAGTTTTTCATTTTTAATAGTTATATTCAATAACCCAAAATTAAAAAAATAACATGATTTGCAAACTAGAAAACATAAGAAATGGAAAGAGCATCCATTTCTCTGTAATTCTATATCAAATTTATTATTTTCCAATAATAAATAAAAAAGTTATACAAGTTATATCGAAGTAAAGTAGCGCACTCTGAAATGGCGGAAAAATTAATTCCGTCCAAAAGTGGAAAATGATTCCGAAGTAATTCCGGAGTCAAAGAGTTAAGCAACTTATTTGTCCACAGAAACTGTGCCGACCTGCTTCACCTTTTGTATCCTGTATTGCCTTTTCAGCCCGAGCAGCACTCTCCAGGTTGGTAGGCAACTCTCCCCACAGCCATGTTGCGCTAGTTTCCATCAGAGCTGACGTCTGGCTGTCCTCCATATGTTGTTTGTCAACCTCGGTGTCACTTTTTGGAGTTGAAGGGCGGGTACCAATGGGACTAAAAACATTCCAAAGAATTGTTCAATAATTATCAGGGTAATCATGAGATATCAAATCCTATACAAATAATGCTTTAGTCTAATTTCTAGATTTTTATACCATTAAGTCTACACAGAGTCAAAAATCTTTTAAAATCTTCAACAATAATAGTTGGACCAAGGATTTGAAGTAAAGCGGCCGTGTTCTGTAGATCTATGCAATCTTGTTTTACATAGCAGGGTAATATCAACTGTACAGTGCTAAGCTGCCTGATTATATTTTTATGTTTCTAGCCTAGTAACCTTGGAAAATTATCTCAGCTTGTCACAGCATTGGCTAATAATTAAATTATCTCAAAGTCAAAATGCATAGAAACTGGAGAATTCTAAAGACCCTTCTCTATAGACTAGTCTTAAAAAAAAAAAAAAAAGAACTCTATACTTATTAAATGCTATATTATATATTAAGAACACTGAAATTGAAGATAAACCAACAAACCTTCCAACTGGAGATGTTTCCGGATCACTGAATGGAGTGACAAAAGAGCTGCCACCAAAAGAATTGATTCGTCTGTAGCTAGTTGTCCCTTGCACCAAGATATCCATGTCTTTCATCTCAGGAGAACTAGAGCTGCGGTTGCTGTAAAGTTTAGATTTCCCTTCATCATCCTCTGAAGAGTTGGTCACATCCAACTCAAACATGGCATCCTCACTGGCTGTAACGTTCTCGGGCAAAGACACTGACCTAGGGCTCTGGCGAGGACCTGAGGATTTTTGCTTCTTCTTCTTCAGCACTTTTCTTCTCGGCTTGCTGGAAGGCTTGGGCTCATCCCATGAGCTATCACTCCTAGGGTCTCGTACTTTTAGATGTGTGTCACTCTGGGGCTGGTCAGTCTTCTTATCGTCAGTTGATAAAGTGGGCGATACTTCTGCTCGCTTCAGTTCTTCAATTCCTTTTTCCATCAAAAGCAATGAAGAAACCAGAGGTGATGTTGCCAGATAGGCTGGAATATCCTGGTAAAAATAAAAAAGGTAATTTAATTTGCTTTTAAAACCAACCATTTGTTAACTTAGCTCAAAGAACAACCAGAATATATTTCTACCAACCTCTTCTTCTGATTCCACTTCATGAACAAAGAAAGCCTCCCCAGCCTCTCCCAGTTTCATCTGGATATCAGTTGGCTCTCCATTTACTTCAATGTCCACCTAGATCACAACAGACACAAGATTATTTATGAAAGCAAAAATGGGTACCTAACTTTAGTAAGGGAAAGTAAAGGAGGTTGGTCATTGTGCTGGCCACATAACACCCTGTTCATTAACCACTGATGAAAGAAACAGATGACCATTAACCATCATATTCCCTATAGATTGCAAGTTCTGAAAGGGGAACTTTACTTTTTTTAATATTGATTGAGGAGGACTTTAATCTCCCACATCTACAGAATACACAATGTTATGCACATTCATCTATATAGAGTAAAGGTTGTGGCTGTACATATAATACAACCTTGTACAACACTGGTAACAAAAACATGAGTAAGGGAGAAGGGCTTCAATGTTTATGTCATTAAGTCAATTATTACGTGAAAAATGGCCATGTGAAAAAGTGATATAATAAAACAAACAGTAAACAAGATGAATTTATTAACAAAATTGAAACGATTGTTTCTAAGTAAATATTTTTTAAAATACATTAGAAAAGTTAAAAGTTAAAATAATGCCATGAAAATATAAAAAAGAAATGCTCACCACTTTCTCTCTGGATCGAAGGACCCCAAGTTTTCCAAAGCGTACATGGAAAGGAGATGAATTAAAAGTTCCATCAGGCTGCCTAATGATGACAACATCGATAGCACCAGTTAATGTGGCAGGATTGATGCCATTATAGAATCCCTTGACATTTTGAAACCATCTAGTCACAAATCCAAAACTCATTTTTGTTTAGTGCAGAATGCTCTCAGTAACAGACCTGAGCTGAAAAAAAAATTTTCACACTATAGAAAGACTATCAAAATTAATTGTGATTCCATTTATGTAATGGGTGTATAACAGATAAAGTCTTTTATATTTTGTCTTATAATCATATGTCCAATATTATTCTTCAAGACTTCTTGGCCCATACACTGCTGGAGACACAGGTTACAAATATGTTAGTATTCAATAGTGTTAACAAGATCAATATATTTATGCGAACAATCATTTTTTTTTTAGCATAGAGTAAGTATCAAGAGTAAGTTAAAAATCAATTTAGTGATGAGAACTTGGAATTATATACAACAAACAAACCTGACTTACTTGCCAATGAAATGCAAGACAATTATTCACATAAGTGTAGCATTTGTAGTGTTTTTTAAGGACACCTTTAAAATATTATTAAATTTTCTACATTTTTTAAATAAATATATCTTTACACAAGTATGATGTTAAGTTTTTTTTCTTTCTATGTTCTGTTAGTGAAACAAACATACATTAGGAAAGAGTTGAAGGTTGTACTTTTAATTATCTCCATTAAAATCTCTGTACTAGAGCAAAGCTTAAATTAAAATTATCCCCTTTCATACCTTGCAATCTATAGGGCAGATGATGTTTAGGTCATCTGTTGTTTGAGCAAAGGTTAACAAGCAGCACAACAACCAACTGTCTATACTTTCCCCAACTATTGTCAGGTACCCATAAGAGTTGGATAGACTCAAAGTCCCTTAAAAATCCTGAAATTTAAAATCCCAGTCTAACATTTGAGCCTAGAACCCCAGGGTCAGAAGCCAAGCGCGTAGCTACTCAGTTATTGCAATCCACAACTATAGCTTAAATTAGTTAGTTACAAAAATAATGGCTCTTCAAATCAACTTTAATTATAGGCAATTTTTTAAAAATTTGGCTCTTTATATGATGAGTTTGGCAACCACTTCTCTAGACCATGTTCTGGAATTCATATATATAACATTCAGGCTCTATATTGGATTGATAGTCCCTGTCCTAGTTTAAAATGCAAACCAAAAACTTCAACCAAATAAAAACAAACTAAAAAATGAAGGGATTAAAGTTTCCAAATCAAATCAAAATAGGATTCGACATATTCAATAAGTTTTAAAGCTAATACACAAACGTAAGCCTACTGCTATACAGTGAATAATGAGGGATAAAAGAGTCAGTCATAGTACTCATAGTCTATTACCTATATAACAGTCAAGAATCTGATTTTAATGTATTAAGATTCAAGAACTAAATGATTATGCAGGTCTAGCTATGTTATGTGCAGTTAAAAATGGACAATCAATATTATTGCCAACACAACACTAAAAAAAAACAACTCATGACCACGTCTTCAAAGCCTGAGAATTGAAACAATAACATGGGGAAGCTATTTTTAACATCTTATTTCATTTACAAAAATAGTAACAACCACTGGACAGTCTATACTCTATATTCAATATTGTCTAGTGAGTCTAGTCTTGATAGTCTCAGTATACTGTGATTTGTGATAATGATGATAATGGTAGATCTAGATGTAGTAATCAGAACATATTCATATATTGATTGATTGTACTTTGCTCTCTCTGTATCTGTGTTAGTCTTAGTCTTACATGCATTTTAGATCTGGAAAGCTCTCTATTTTCTAATTTAAAGTCCATAACTAGATTAGTTCTAGATCTATGTAGTATAAGTATGGCAAGGCAAAGGCTCTACTCTATTCTCTATTTGTGCTACTTTGTCTTTCTATTAATTCTATCAATCTTTTTTATTATTATTATTAGTAGTGAAGTACTAACATAGACATCACATAGACGTCATAGAATCATAATAATAATAATAGTATTATTATTAGATCAAGTAGTAATAGTGAGTCAGTCACAGTCCAATAGTAATAGGGTTTATAGACTCAATCATTAGAGTTAATAATTAATAGATCAGAGATCTTTTTATCTTATACTTATAATGTCTTAATCTTTAAACTTAAATGAAATCGGAAATGATAATAATAATGATTAAATTAATTAATCAAGTCATTTCAAGTCCTAAGTCCTAGGCTAAGCCTAAGTAATAGTACTTTAAGTAAGTCCTAAGTCTAAGTCACAAGTTAAAGTCTACAAAATTACATATTTACACTTTACAGATCTAAATTCTAGTCTAGATTTAGATTTTAATAGGTTTAGATTTACCTTTGATATTGCACGTAGCTTTAGTAATCCAAACAGCGGTCAGTTGTTTTATCATTATGAAACGTCTGCTTTTCGTTGTTTATCGTGTATCTATTAATGAAGTCTTATTTTCATGGTTTTCCTCTCGGCTCATATCCAATCAGCCGATCACCCGATCATGTGACTTTACTTCGCAAGACGAAGTCTTTGGAGGCTGAGCCCGTTAGCCGTACAGCGATTGGCTAAAAAAGAGGTACGATGGTGCTATTTTTGGCTTAACGGCACGCAGTCGGTTGTAAAGTAGGTCAACCGAGGACCTAGTGAAAATATTGGACATGTGATTATTGATAGTTATGTAAACATAAATATTTATGTACCGATATAGAAATAGATCTATATTCTAATATACGCGTAAGGTATGTTAAATATAATCATTGGAGTCTTAACTAGGTCTATAACTTAAAATAATATATTTGGACGACATGGACTGATTTAATTTAGAGGTATTGCGTCTACTAAATTATCTTATCTTATCTTATATAATACAGACGTTACTTCAAAAAAGAAGATGATTGCGTCCTACGCGTTATGCATTTAGTCATGCATATTAACCAATGACTTAAATTCTGCCAAGTCACTGGTTTTTCTGGCTAGCAACCCATTCCATGCTCTAATAGCACTAGGGAAGAAGGAGTATTTGTACAAATTTGTCCTAGCATATGGGAC